GTCCGTCAGGAACTGAATTTCAAAATAAAAATAACCGGAAACAGACGTAGGCCTCTAGGAGTTTAGGATGGCCGAAGACACTAAACTACTCATAATCCCCAGCTATCATTTAGGACTACAGTCCCCGTGATTAATCTTCAAGCTCCGGGATTGGATGTTGGAGTGGCAGGGCGCCAAGGTTAGCCTAGCATCAAACAGCTGTTTGAAATGGAACTAAACCACGCCAGACTATCCAAAACTGGAATCGAACGCCCCCCCCAGAACTACACATGCTGGCTATTGTGTTTCGCAAAATGTTCAATGGGACGTCTCTACTGAACGTTTTCGTTTTTCCCACAATTAGAAGTTGCCATGCACGTTGGTATTATCAAATGTAAAACATATAATTAATAAATGGGTGAAAATCGCTTGTGTCCATAATGCGCAGCATTAATATATACCTACATGACAGCTCATTGTTACTTTGTAATTCTACTCCACTACAATTCAGAGGTTAACCTGGTATTTTTACTCCACTACACTTATTTGAGTTACTTTGCAGATTCTGATTAATGATGTGAAATATAAACAACCCTTAAATCAGACTTTAGTTACACTTGAGTAAAATTCAGGGAAGGTGATTGTCAAGTGCCAACAATCAGGAGAGATAGTTGGTGCTTGAGAAGACTAAACATTTATCTGCAGATCTCTATAAAGTATATTAATTACTCTTTATTCTCTAGTAATAGTTAATTTATTCTCTACTAATAGTTAATTATTCAGGAGCCCAGACACACTCACAACTATAAATGAACCAAAAACAAATAAATAAACAAGTTTCAATGTTTTTCATATTGGATATGGTATGTTATTGATTATGGCCATGTTCTTATGATTTTATGATTATTGAAATGTATACAGTTCTGTTTCATATAGGTGTTTCCATAGATCTATTCTCCTTATTTTCCCCTCAAAGTGCACCAGATTGATGCATTTAACTCCCAAATGAAAAAAAAATCGGGGAGCATTCCCCCGGACCCCCCTAGAGGATTTGAGGTCCACCCCCACTTAAAATATGTTCACATGAATAGATTCCTAAATAGATTTTCACATTTAAATAGTGACCCCTGTCCATATGTTTATTTTGGGGTAGTAGATTTAAACTATAGGGCTATCACTATGGGCAGCAATGCTGTAAATATTGACAAATAAATCCATATAGTGGCCTGGCTGGGTGTATAATTCCCGGCCTGACTTATTGTCCCAGTCCGGCCCTGGTTTGGGCTCCTATTTAAACGTGTGTTTCATGCTTTATTGCTCAAAAAACACGATTGTTCTTCTCTGTCCAAAACTCGGCGTTTAAGCGCTGGTCTCTTTCGGCCTACATTCAAAATGTTGCTACATCTTTTGCATATGCACTTTCTGCGTCTCTGCACATGTATTGCAACTACAGTATAGGGAATGAATGTAACGGTACGTCCACACAGCAGCGTTAAAGAAATCTTCCAACGCTTCTGCCTGTCACTACCCGATCTGCAGCTCTGCCCGATCTGCAGTGCACAAGTGCNGAAATGGATCGAAACCACGCCAGACTATCCAAAACTGGAATCAAACGCCCTCCCACCCATAGAACATTTTGCGAAACACAATAGCCAGCATGTGTAGTTCTGGGAGGGCGTTTGATTCCAGTTTTGGATAGTCTGGCGTGGTTTCGATCCATTTCAAACAGCTGTTTGACGCTCGGCGTAACCTTGGCGCACTGCCACTCCAACATCCAATCCCAGCGCTGGAAGATTAATCACGAGGACAGTAGTCCTAAACGATAGCTGGGGATTATGGGTAGTGTAGTGTCTTTGGCCATCCTAAACTCAGAAATGTTTTTCGGATTTGTATATCGAAATGTCCCTTATAGACCTACGTTTGTTTCCGGTTATTTTATTTTGAAATTCCGTTCCTGACGGACGCCAAAAAAGTCCAAGATTATGGAATCAAACAAATAAATAAAAACAAGGATAATTGTGCGTTATTGGTGGAGTAAATAACAGTGTGTTATTAAGAAAAGAATAACAAATTAGAAGGAAAAAAAGATTTAAAAAAATACAGATTTCAGTATTCTGAGGCTCTGAGCCCCATTTATTTTCCTCACAGACGACAAAAAAAGTCCGACA